CCCCCCCCCCCTTCCATCTACACGGTCCTACATCAAAGCTAGGCGGTCTCGAAGTACATCTCGCAACAAGTCCCCGTTCACGTTCGTGCTCCGTCGCCACCCGCCCGCACCGTTCTCTAGAGTGCCCAAGTCTACTGTATGCCGAACGCCGTTCGCATCACCCTCCCACAAAAGGTTATCATCAAAGTCGGTCCCCGCGTCGAGGAGGATGTTGTAGAGAGTGCACACGGCCACAAATTGTTGTGGCAAGGTCTTTAGATTCGCCTTGTGGGTGCGCAAGAACAGACGCCACATGCACTGCAGTCGGCCGAATGCCCTCTACACACACCCCCGCGCCACCTTTTGCCGCGTGTCGAAGCGCTCCTCGTCAGGACCTTGGTCGATTCCTTTGTACGGTTGCACGATCCATGGACAGGCAACGGGATAACCGTTGTTGCCCAGCAGGTAACCTCGCGTGACGACACCGTGCGACAGATTCTGCGGAGGTGCGTCGAACAGCTCGCGAGTTTCTGCATGCCTCCACAACTGGGGATTGTGCAGAACACGGACGTCGTGCACACTTCCCGGGTATCCGACGTGGATATCGAGGATCCGCAGATCCAAATCCACCACCACTTGCGCCTGCACGGAGAACTTCTGTGTTCGGTCGTAGTAGTTGTTCGAAGGTGCGTGAGTGGGCTTGTCAATATACATGTGTGTACAGTCGATTACGCCGAAGCAGTTTGGGAAACCCTTCTCACGGAAAGCGCGCAGTATATGTGCACGTCTCTGACCCACTGGCCACTTTATCGCGTCGAGGTACGCCTGCAACAGCGCCGAAGTGACGTCGAGAACGACCTGCAGTCCAGTTGCCCTGCCGATGCTGAAGGCTGACGTGCCTCTCTCGTACGTCTCTCCGGTCGCCCACCTGTACAACGCGAAAGGGATCACCTGTTCCACTGGCAAAAGCACCCTATAGTGCGTGACCTTTTTCTCCACGTACATGGCACACGCGGCTACGATCTGGGTGAACATGGGCATCGACATGCATAACTTATGGCAGTAGTACTCGTCCATCGCATCATCACACAGGCGGAGGTCCTCCCATGTTCCACCAGTCCGTTGTCCAACAACGAGGGGTCTGCCGCGGGAAAACGTCAGACGACAGCGCGGCACACAACTGGACGGCTGCCTCACATGTGGCCACGCAATCCGGCACTTCGACAATGCTCTTCAACAACGCTCTTCGTTTACAGAGCTGCATGAGCATGTCGCGCGAGGACGACGGCATGTCGCTCATCATGTTGATGACGACGGCAGTCACCGCCATCGCCACCATGGCAATCTCTTCTTCGCGTAGACCGTGCCTGCAGCCGTGAACGTCCATCTCTAAGAATCGTTCCACCTCTACAGCGTAACGCCTGCCACAGCCGCCGAAGACACGCCCACTGCTCAACCCTGCCGTAGCAGACCACGTACACCGGAGCGGAAGATGCGCCTGTTGTTGTACGCTGCCACAGGAGATGACGTACGATAGAGCCGAAAACACGCCCACTGCTCTACGCTTCCATAGGACAGTACGCACGCCGGAGGTGAAGGTGCGCTTTGTTGGAAGATGTGCCAGCTGGTCACAACTTGCATAGACTCGAAAGATGGATACCCACGCCGAACGGTTCGCCAGCGCCATCTTTTCTACGTCACACGCGTCCCTAGCCGTCCTCTGCCCCGCCACCCTGTGTCCGCAAAAATTCGAAGTTGAATTTTCGAAGTTCTGGGTAACTGCGCTTTTCACTGTCCCGTCCTCACCCGCCCAAGGGCCACCGCAGTGTGTACTACAGACACCAACCAGGAATGGACGGACATCGGCGACGCGGCTGCATATACGCATATGAAAACCGGCCACGGTAGACCTTTTAGGACGAATCCTAAAAGACGATTTTTAGGATTGCGGGTAACGACGCCGCACAAAATCCTAAAAAACCTTTAGGACTCGCCATAAAAAAATTTGGATACTTTTTGGAGCTACGTTCCATAGAGAACACGTACGGGGGCTTTCCATACGAAACGTACAGGTTATTTTTGTACAGGATCTGTACGGGAACCTGTACGTCTTGTACGCCCCCATACGAAAAAGCAAAAACAAGAAAAAATAAAAAAGTCATAAAAAAAATCCGAAAAAACAAATGTGATGCAACAACACAAAACAAGCAACATTTGGTTGAGCATCATCTTCAGATTCTTAACAGAATTTGAGAAACAAAATAAAAACAATACCGGCTTAAAAAAAAAAAAAAAAAAAAAAAAAAAAATCGTACGAGACCCCTAGCGTATGAGTAGCATACGGGTACAAGAGTATGAATTCGTACTCGTACAAGGGTGCGTACAAGTGGCAACGTAGTTTAGGAATGTCTAACGAGACCCATACCCAGGCCAAATTATGGGCATACCGGGGACGTGAGGAGGAGAGGCCAAAATGTTGGGAAAGTTATAAAACTTCCCCGCGATAAAACCTTTATGTTCATTTCCCCCCCAACAGGCCAAAAAGTATCGCAGGCCCCAAAATTATTTTTTGTGTCATTTTTGCACCCTGCCTGGGCCGGTAACGCCCACTGTGCAAAAATGGCAGGAAAGTGTTTTACAGGGTGCAAATGCCAAAAGTCATTTTGGGGCCTGCGACACTTCTTGCCCAAAACAGGCATTTCGTTTAAAATTAGAAGTGACATTTTTCACTATTTTCACGATATTGGTCTTCCAACAAAAAACAATATTTTTAGCATTTTTTTTTTGCCCACGACATCAGATAATTGATGAGATGTTTTAGGCACTGGGTGAGGTATTGAACAGGGTCTGAGGCGGACACGCTCTGTCTATTTTGGGGGTCTCTATGGTGTTTGGATGTATGTGTGTTTTGAGTAGGAAGTGGACTGTAGACAAGGGATACAGTATGGGGCCGGAGGGGGGATAGGTCCAACTATTTCGTATGTCCGATGATTGCGGGCCTTAGTTTTTAGATTTCTTTGTTTTGTTGTTTGTGGGGGCCGGGACCGGTTACGGGCCTGTAAGACCAGGGCTCTGAGAGGTTTGAATTCGCCCGGTCAGACGGGAAGTCGGGCCTGGTCTGTTCTTCTGTGGGCCGCAGGGTCCGGAAGTCGTTTTCGCAATAGAATGGATGGACTTGCTGACCCCCGGTAAGTGAGACACTAGGCTACCCGACTAAGTTAGTCGAGAAGCCTAGTGTTATGATTTTTGGTACGACGCGAACTATAAGAGGATACTAGTCGTAGGTAGTGGTCCTTTTGGTCGGTGGAATGAACGGGGGTTCCTGGGTGTTGTGGTTTGAAGAAGGAAAGGGTTTCTACTACGACTTGTCTCGGCTGTGGTGTGGGCGCACCGCGCCAGTATGACTACTCTGCAGTTTCCATTTCACATACTCGTGTGCTGCAAACGTGAACTCTACTAGAGATATCGAGCTGGTGGTGAGTGAGCGTTGACTACTTTGCTATGGTTACTTTTACTTTTACTGTGGATAACTTGGCACTGGAATACGTGCTTTGTGCTACAGCAAGGGCGGGCAAGTTTAGGTTGTAGCGGGGATTCGGTGCAATTCAGGTGCATACAGATGCATGCTCACTAGCGTGGGTTACAGCTGCACTATTACAGCGGGCGAGCGATGCGAGTAGGTCACGATGTCTAACCCGGACCGCCATGGGGAGGGAGGTGAGAGGGTTGGCGATGACCGTGGACGTGAGGAACGAGAGCGCGGAGCTAGGGGAGATGAGAGAGAGCGTGGCGACAGGAGGCGTGGACCAGTATGTTTTAACTGCAATGAGGTCGGCCATTATGCCAACCAGTGCTCAAGACCCAGGAGGTATATGGGAGCGTCTCGACCGTCGACGTCCTCGGAGTCAAGGCGATCAAGGTCCCCGTGGGGAGGAGATTGGAGACGCGAACCCGCAGTACAGCTAGACCTAAGGGTGAAGCACCAAATCAGTGATCTGGGGAAGAGTGTTCCAGCGATGCAACAACATTTCGAGGAGGAACGCATTCGAAAAGAGAATCAACTACGCCGCAAGCAGGAAAAGGAGGAAGAAAAACGGCAAGCAGAGGAAGCGAGAGCTCGGGAGGATGAGGAACGAGCTATCAGAGACGCGAAGGCCCAGAAGAAGGAGCGACTGAGGCGGGAAGTCGAAAGCCGGGCGGAACTGAAGAAGGACTTGGATATGCAATTGGCGTTGCAGGTAAGTGAGATGGAGGATAAATTTGTACAACGCCTGCGTAAGGCTGTGGAGGAACTACAAAAGTTGCCGAGTGGGAAGGGCAAGGAAGTGAAGCAGCCCTCGGATACGGATGATAGTGATAGTGGGAGTGAAGCAAGTGTTACGCAGGAATTGAGTGAGAAGACAGCGGGTCTGGTTATCTCGAAGAAACGGAAGAGAGGGAAGGAGAAGGTGGGGCGGGACAGCCCACCGAGGGAGTCACCGGCCAAACGTACGCCGGGACAGCGTCGCAAGCAAGCGACCTATGCCGGGAGGGTGACACGTGCGCAAGCAAAAGTGGTTAAGTCTCCCGGATCAGCCAAACGAGCCACACCGGTTCGGACGCCGCTATCTGCCGCAAGGAGGAGAGTAATGCCGGTTACGCTAGGACTGGCTACTACGGACACAAAGGACGATCTGGCGAGATATAAGTATCGCAACTTGGTGATGATGGGTTTGAAGCAGCTGGATGCCAATGAGCTCCAACGGATTTGCCGGGACAAAGGGATCACATAAGATGGGAAGATTGATGCGATATCGCCGATCATCGCACTTACTTGCACTTTGGGGAGGAGCGGGCACCGCCGAAACCGATCGAAACCATTCGTATCGAGGACTTAGAGGCAACTAAGCCCCCCGAGGATCGTGAAGAGGATGTCATGCACTGATGTGGCTTGCGAGTGCCTCAGCTATGGGCGATTTGTCGTTTCCTATTAAAGTTGAGATGCGAGAAGAACATGATTGACGCTAAGATCGAGGCTATGTTTGTAACTGTGGTGCTTTGGTTAGCCGTCGAGAACGCGATACGTTCGCTCGGCAAGTTTGTGAAACATTGGATCGATATGTATGAGAAGCACGGGATCGAATTCGTGGACTAAGCAGACTGTGTGTATGTAGCTATCTCACCATACTGTAAGCATGAGTATGTTAGGCAAACTACACGTAACGTGTCGATCATGTGGAAAGAACATGTATATGTTTGTCGTAAGCGCACGCAGTCCCTCTTCCATAGATGGCTCAGTGGGTTTGAGTATGGTAACTACTGTTTGATACCTGTTGATGTACTAGGGGGTGTGGACCTAACTAAGCTAGAGCTGGGGTATATCCGATGATGGAGCCCATTTCTGAATACATCGGGAACAGGGAGAGCTAGAGGTAAACACCACCCGAGAAGAGCAAGGGGGAAAAATTTTGCTAAGATGGAGGTAGAGCACCTGGAGGTAATACCGATTAAGTTTCGGATCCAGGGTAGATCTGAGTGGGGGGTCGACTTCTACCGCTTGTTCGACGAAAGGAAGAAAGGGGGAAAGCTACCGATCCATGTTAGTACGGGAGGAGGTAACACGTGGTTCCCGAGGATGGAGGAAGTTGGTAAAAACGTTTGGCGAGTCAAAAATTAGCTTTGGGTCGGACCAGTTACGCCTGAAGAATAGCAAGAAACAATTGGAGAAGGGTGGAAATTTTTCCATCACCTACATATGCAAATGGTAGGCGCGCTGTGGCTTTTTGAAGGGGTTGTTGGTTCAAATCTTGAAGAATCCGGGGAAGTTGAGTATGCCTATGTTGCACTCCCGGCTGCGGCCGGGGGATCCAAGTCAGCCGCGATCTAGGCCGATGGCTGAATCGACCGAGTTCGGCCTAGGCTGACCAGCCGACTTCGGTGCAAGATTTTTATTTTTATTCAAATGCATGAAAAAATAAAAAAAATATTGGCGTGTAGGGCTAAAAAAACCCTACACTCTAGGCTACCAGCCGGGCCGCCCGGGTCTCGCGTGGCCAGCCCGTGCAAGGATCAGGTAAGGTCCCAGCAAAAAAAAAAAAAAAAAAAAAAAAATCCAAAAATTCTGAAAACAAACTATGTTATGCAGAAAAATAAACTGAAAAACGTTTGCCTAGGGGTCACATCAAAATTTTTCATTAAATTTAAAATAAAAAAAAACAATTCAAAAATATTTTATTTTTTTTAATTTTTTTTTATTATTTTGGCCCGGCCGGGCAAGTGACCGCGGGCCACTCTGGTAGCCTAGCCTACACTCCTGTTTTTTCTTTTTGAAATCCGACTTTGTTTAAGATTTTTTAAAAATCAAAAACTAAAATCGATTTAAACAAAATTAAAAAACATATATAAAGAAAAGCAGGATTTATTTTTGGTCATTTTTTATCATCAGATATATGGTCGGTGAGTTTACCTGTATTTTTTTAGAAATGAATTTCTGTTTTTTTGCAGAAGTACGAGGTGTTTTGAAAAAATGCAGATGCAAATTAAAAAAAAAAAAAAAAAGGGGGTTTGATTGATTGATTGATTGGT